GTTTGACTTAATTTAATGAAAATGTTGCAACCTGCAATTTACAAAACTAACGCGAAGAAAACTTGAGATTGTTTACACGCTCCTCCCTCCTCGCTGGCCAACAACAGCGTCTTCGGGTCTTTTCTAACTGCTCCTGGGATGCGGGCTTAGTTCTCGGTAAACATCAGAATGGTTCCATCTTTTTTAGCTGGGCGGGGAAGTCAAACAAACGAATGCAAAGGTTTTTAACTGACTCGAGTAGACGCAGAAGTAAAAATGTGCTAAAGTGGCAGAAGACGACGATGATGGCGTGTTTGCCGATGGGCTGCCAAGAAGTTTTCCCCTATTAAGGTGATTGCATCGGGGTACTGTGGGAAAGCATAGCAACTCATAAGTCATCCATAAAGCTGATCATTCCACTTCCTTCGTCTTTCAGATACCCACGGGCTGTGCTGTGCTGTGCTGAACCCGGTCCAATCCCCCTCATCTATGCGCAACTAAGTTGGAATGATGAGTTATCAGAAAGGTAAGTCTCCAATCAGAGGATGTATTCATTACCTTCCTGGCCGTGACACATGCCAAATTGCCGGCCGTCCATTAGCAAGGTTTACAATCAAGGGAATCGCTAGGCAAATCGACGTACTGTGACCTCGTTCACAGGTCAATCAATTTGGAAGCATTTCTTGCCACGTTGCGTACGATTTATATGGGATTGCGGCAAATCACTGCCACAATACAATTTACAGTAAATCAGCCAGAAAGCAAATTTACGCGGGTCATTCTCAAACAATTTGCTCGCCGAGGACAACAGAAGATAAGAATGCGTTCGAGCATTAAAATGGATCCAAGTCCGGCTGCGATACACATCCTCAGTCACAGCAAAAAGTAGCAAAAGTTGCAGTCCGAGCTGAGGGCGAGAGGATGCGATACAATCGAACAAAGGACACTGCTGTCTACTTTCGGGGGCTGTCCACGGCCAGTCTGCCAACTAATGAGCTTCCATGAATCGACATGAATTGGTGCGCTGGTGAAACCGGGGGGAGACGCCGCTCCAGCTAGTTTCTAAATTAATTGCCACCAGTTTTTGCGTTGGCCTGGCTAAAAGCGCTGTGGGCCCAGTGGCTTGGGCTTCGCCCGGCCGGGCAACTTTTGCTGTAGCCGATGTTGCGCCGTTCAATTAACTTGTGCGACAATCCAATCAAAAGTGTATTAAAGGTCCGTTTACAGGCCCGCCGCCATTCCCGATCCAGGATGCGGCTGCCAGGCCATTTCGGAGAGCCAGCCGATGCCGATAACAGCAATTACATAAATGTATTAATGGCATCAGTTTGGGAAGTGGCGGAAGAGGCGGGCGTGTCTGAGCTGTCGCTGGCCTATTGCCACGCAAAAAAGCCAAAAGGCCCGATCGGCTAACCAAATGCGACTTAATGGTGCCCACTGAAACAGCTGCAGCTGAATGGCCCAATAGGAAAATGTGCCCCCCGAAGGGAGTCCGCAATTGAGGCATAAATTTGCATTATCGCGCATAGAACGTGGTGGAAAATGGGGCATGGCGATGATTGCAGGCAGGGCCCAGGCGAGTTATTATCCCGGAAACTATTCACACACACATTTGCAAGTGCTCCTTGTCACCCAACCAACTGGGCTGCCTCGCAAGAGCCCAATTCACATTTCCAGGCAACGAAACAATGTCCTTTGACTAATTTATTTAGCTACTTGTAATATTTAATAAAAACGTCTCGATTGGTCCTACAGGCAGGTCAATATACACATTCGGTCTCGATGTGGCCGCACAGTGGTTAAACAGAAAAAATATAGAAGTTTTATAATTTTGTATTATATTATTTTGATTCTATATTTGATTAAATAACTGTATTTTAAAAATGTTCAATACTTATGATAAACAGAAAAAAATATAATAAGATAACAAGAGCACTCTATCTAATAATAGAAATATGTAGAAAATCCTAGAGTCGAGATTATGAACTGTGAGATGATCGGTACCCAAAGAGAATAGTTAAATTAAACACTACTTATAGCATATGAAAATCATATTAGCAAATAACGGGAGAATAAACAAAATATTTGTTTTGCCAACAGAAATGTGGATATTGTAGAAATTTGAAGTTGACAGAATTTATATTTTGTAATGATTGCCATGTCTGTAATCGAATGTTTATCAAATTTCAGGGAAAAAACGCATCAGTCTAGTAATTGGATGACAATTTTCACTTTAAATTAAATTTTACTAACACTTACTTACTTACCTTATTAAGAGAGGTTTTCGGTTGATATCATTAAAAACTACTGATCATTTAATACTAGTCAGCACTAACTAACAGATACGCAGACCACTGTGCGTCTCAATTCTGGCAATCAGAATTTTTTACATGGTTGTGTCGTATAAAACACGTGCCTGGCTTCCCCGAACACGAACTACATAAATAAGGGAAAGCGAGAGACGAGGCCTTCGCCCCACTCCTCAGGCTCACATACGACTGAATCTGGGCGAAAACTTTTCCAATTTTCCCCTTTTTATCGTAAATTACGCACAATTCAATATTTGGCCTTTTTACTGGCTGCTTTGTCTCTGCGTCGTCTGCCTTTTTTCTGCCTCACTTGGTACGGGGAGTTCAAGGGTGCCTGCCTTGGGGATGGGCCTTCTTCTTCCTTTGTCTTTGCTATTTTGCTATTTTTTGTGTGTCTCCTTATCGTAAATAGGAAATCTCATACGTGCGTGGGATACAGCTGAATTCAGGCCCCCTTCCCGCACTCATTTGCTTTATGAATAAAGCAAAAGTTAGTTTTACTTCTGTCCCAGAACCAGTGTTGCCAGGTTAGCTTATTATAAGCTAGTTCTAGCATATTTGAAACTAGAAAAGCTTGAAAAATTTCCATCTAGCTTATAGCTTGAAATATAGCTTATTTTAAAATTCATCTAGCATATTTTAGCTTTTTATGTATTTTTGACATCCACGGAATGTTTTTTACGAAAAATATGCTTTATAGCATGAAAATATTGGAGTTTGTTCTTTTTTTCCGATGCTTATGTGCATTTTATGTGATCGTGAACTTATTTCTAATCGAAAGTGTCATCGGAGATCGATTTGTTGGCTGAAGTGTTACCACCAATAATTTTGTTGTGTTGTGAAAATAGGTAAAGCGTGTCCTCAAAATGCCGAAAGTTATATATAAACAGATTTTTCGGGATGCTTGGCTCCAAAACAACGAATTTAAGTGCCAGGAGAAGGAACCAAAGCATATTGTTGCTACTGTAAGTCGACAATATCAGCCAACATTTTTGAAATCAGGCAGCATGCGGCATCGAAAAAGCACATTTTATCAATGAGATCAGTTGCTGAATCGCAAAAAATAAATTTTCCGGCTAAGTGTTGCAAGACTCAGGATCAGGAAGCAGCGCTTTGTTTGTTCATTGCCGAACACTCGGCGACGAACAACATGAAGGAATTGATGAAATATTAACTAATTTGTTTTAAGTGCTTACTTTAAAAACATATTTTTAAGACTTTCTTTAATAATAACATATTCATATAATATAATAATATATATTATATGTTTCGTGTTTTCTCATATTTGGGTGTAGCTTGTTTTTTCGCATTTTTTAAAAATTGTTTAGCTTATTCTAGCTTATTTTTTTTTTAAATCTAGCTTATATGGGCGCTCATCACCTGGCAACACTGCCCAGAACCCACCTAATCGAAATTGCCTATAACTTGGAAGTGTAATGATTGTTTTTCTATGCTTGGTAATTTATTTAGCATTATTCGCAAACTTGCTTCGGGCATAAATCGATTACGGAGAAAGTGTTTTCTATTAGTAGGTCCAAGAAGAGTCTAGAGTAATCAAATTGTATTCTGTTTTGGGAAGAAGAACTTGGACTTGGAAGAAAAGTTCTAAGACTTTAAACGCTGCCAAGACAGCTACTGATTCCAGAGTCTCAATCACTGTGATAAGATGAATAGAAAATATAGTTAATTGGAAATGTTTTTGCTATAGAACGATTTCTATATCTCTGGTTTGGTTTTGGCAGAACCCATTTCTATAGACCTGAGTACGGAGTGCCAGGACCAGGGCCAGACACAGACATTTAGGCCTTCGTATGCAACGGGTTTGTGTCAAAATTTTTATGCCGTGCATGGCACGCAAACGTGTGCAAAAAAGAAAACCACTAGAGAGGAGTGAATAGTCAAACGGAGAGCCGAAACTACGGAGGCACAACAATGACAGGGGTAGTAAATTGAAAGACCGAAGACACGGAATTGGTTGGCCAAGAGGTGGGGGCGCAGGGCTGGCAGTAGACGACCAAACTGATTCAATTAAATCAGTCCAATTGAAGCGGCTGGCGAAATGTGTGGGGAACGTGTGCCCGGAATATTTAAGCTGCCACAAAGGGCATCCAGGAGGCGACGCACTTATGTTACTGCAGGCCCGGCCCGGAGTGCGAGTCCTGTTTAAATTACGGCTTAAAGCCAGGCCCAGATCGAGGTTCCGGCCGAGCGAAACTTCATCATTATCGCGCGGCGACTCTGGCGGCCAAATGTTGCCCGCCGAAAAAGTTGTCGCATCGCATTTTGTACAAATAACTGAGCATTTTGTTTGCGCCACACTTGCGCGCACATTTTTTAATGTCCCGACACTTTTTGCCGCATGTTCGCAGCGGAGTCAGCGAACCAAGCGGCCAACAACAGTAGCAGCCATTCGAGCCGCCACCGGTCTGGCTCTGGATCCCGTGACTTTTGTCGCGTATCGTATTAATATCTCAATTTATAGCAATTTATAAAAATATGAAAAACGCTCGAATGGGTGGAAAAGTCTGTGGCATTGTGGGGGCCCACCCGGAAATAAAATTTAAATGTACCTTTTTTGTATCCGATTTCCCCGGCCCCCACCTTCCACATCCGCCTCCATTTGCGTGGCCGCCTAACGAAGCCCCCGGGGGAATGCAACGGGAAGCGCTCTCCACTGCTCCCCGTTTAAGTGAGGATTGTGCCGGTCTGACTTTAAAGGGGATTCCCGTGCAAATCCCCGTAGTGCCCAACGGGGACCGCATTTCGCTCGCTCTCCACTCTGCCGGGGCCCACTGTGCGCCGTCCCCGGAAGGGAAAACTTTCGGCACCCAGGCTCTGGGCTCTGGGCTCTGTGTGAAAATCACTCAAAATTGTGTTTAACTAAGCGTAAAAATTATAAGCAAATTAATTTGCACAAATCACAACAACAATAGCAGCAGCGGCTACGAATAGGGCACCAACAATAGTGGCCGGGCTTGCAGCCGAAAAGTTTTATGAAACAATCAGGCGAAGGCAGTTGGTGGGCTGGGTTCTGGGCCCGGGTCTGGTTCCATTGGCATCCTGCAGGATCCCGTCCTGAGCCCGGCCCGAAGCAACTGACGCGGCAGCGGAGGCAACCAAATGAAACGCTGGGGCGGAGTGGGAATAACCGACAATTTATCTGCATAAAAGCGCAGTGTGCAACTTTGACGTGGGTGTCTGTCTTGATGGGGATTGATGGGCGTGGGCTCGGAAAAACTTTGCCGCTTCGGCTTTGGGATATATAACTCTTGTAACTCTTGGGTTGTTCAGATAGCAGGAGATTTAAGATTGGGGAGTATTTCAGCAAAATTATGTTTCTTTCAGCTATGTATTTCGTTGATTTTGTCTTCAATCGAAACCAGAAATCAAATAAATTTCAAGCTCTCTTTATGGAAAAGTTCACGAATCATTGCCATTCTTAATTTGCGTGAAGCAAGGGATACTCTGCTTGGAGAAGATTCCTAAAAAGGGGTTGATCGACTAAGAGAATGGTTTGAGCTGTGGAATTCTTGGGGCATTTTTAATTGACTTCAATGGGGAATTATTCATAAAGATGCCATCGTTTTCCAAGTTGTTATTGTTGGTTTTCCATTTAGAAAAATCAACAATAAAATGGTACAAACTTGAGTCACATGTGGCCAGAGTTTCGAACGCCCGAGGCGCAGGCAACGCCATCCAAATTTTCCCTTGACTTGGCAACGGCCTCATTAGAAGATTCGGAGGAAAGCCCCGGAGGCGGAGGCGGAAGCTTCGCCCATTTGCATTTTGTAAATTGTTGCCAACACGGGCCTGAAATATTTGACAGGGTGGGCGTGGCCCAGCCCCAAACACTGTTCGTTGCCATTGTCTGCGTTTAATTATGGGTGTAAATAAATGTCTATCATTTGGGGTCGCGTGGTCCAGGGGACTCCCCCTGCCTTGAGTTATGTGAAGGGTTTTAATGAGCTATTGACATTGTTGGCTGGGCGGTGTGGCTGTGGATGTTGGAAAATCACAGAGAAAGAAAATTATTACAAGCTTATATTACTTTACCTTTCACATATAAAGTCGTGTTTTTATTTAGAAAAGGGATTTATGTATCGCTTATGAATCTGTTGAAAAATATCACCAAAATAACATTATTAACAATCGTATTATTTATTTACTGAACATTGTATATGTTTAAGCATCTGCCATGTGGTTCCCAGAAATTTGTAAATCATAGATACTATGGTGAGAACTTTATTTATATATATATATATAGCAAAATATTGACTATTGAGATAGCCAGTTGGAAACCAATTGAAACACTACAGCACAATGTTTACTATAATAATTAGCTTATGATCATGGCACATGGTCGAGTCCAGAACTATGTAAATATATGAAGTAGACGCAAAGTAGAGTTCAGCTATATATATAGGCACTTAATATTAGTCACAACTAATATTTTAAACTAATTTTGTATCATCTGAATTTTTAATAAATAATAACATTATTTAAAAGCTCCTAAGGGAGCTGTATTTTTTTTAATTTGACCCCTAATTTTTGCTTCGCACCTATTTTATTTTCTCTTCTTATAATATTTTTTATGAGTGCAGCAAAGATCTTGAGATATCCTTAATAGTTTATAGAGCTCATCAACTAATCAAGGCTTAGATATATGTTTCAAAGCCTGCTTGGGAATCGATTAATCTACCTCTCTTAAGGACCCTGGCTCATTTCACCCCACCAGCCCATTTTCCGCCCTACTCCTTGGTGCACTCGGTTGGGGGCCGGGCCAACGTCAACCCCCTCATTAACGCCCCAATAATTAAACTCAATTAATGGCCGAATGACCAGTCAACTGGCACAGCAACAACACATCAAAGACAAGGGGAAAATGCAGCGACCTTTGGTCTCCCGGTTCCCCACAAGCCGGAGGGAAAGGAAAACATCTCTCTGGGGCCACCCGCTAACAACTTCATTTGTCTCTGTTAAGACGGATCCTGGCTTAGCAACCAAAACTCCTGACAAACTCCTTTTCACCCCGATACTTCGCCGAGCACCCTTGCGGGGTGGAGGCCGGGGAATCACACCAAACCACACGCTGTGTTGTCCTTATCTTGACAGCAAACATTTACAAAAGAAAAACACCGCGGGACGGGGCAACTCGAACACGTCTTTATCGCAGCCAAACAACGCATTTTCCAATTTTCTTTTCGGGTTGCTTCCTCCTCCAGTGTCGTCTTCGTTTTGGCTTTTAAATACTCGGGAGGTAGATTAATCATTGCCCTGACTCCGTTCTCGTCCTCTGCGCCCGCCTGAGCTCCAACTCCGATTACCTGCTCGCTCCGGGACCAACTTCCCCCAAATCCAATTATAATTGCGCTTATCAAAAATAAGTTTTCGATACTTGTTGGCCTGACTTCTGTCGGAGAGAGCTCGCAGAGAGACGGTGTCTGTACCAATTTCGCCAATATGGCAATTTAATCCACACAATCAGTTTAAGGCATCGCCATTTATCTTTCGGCCAGCAAAGGGGAGGGCGACCTGTAGTATGTACTTTCCCCGACTTGTGGTTACCAATCGGGGATTTCTTTCCTCGGCATCGCTGTCAATTACCTCAAGTTTAATTGAAGGTGAAATTGTGTCAGAGCAGAAGAGAAAAAGTTGATGTGGTCAGCCGTTCCGGGGTTAGAGTTCCGCACAAAGTTATCCCAATGAAACATTATATTACTTATGCTAGATCCAGGGGGTGGATTAGTGATGGAGAAAGGAAGTGGCTTGGAACAAATGTGAAGTCGTATTATAAGCCTGAAATAATCAGAGCATTGTTATGCTACAGTCTTCTTCAAAACCTGATAAATCCTTCATTTGCAAAAAATGTATATTTAAAGTTGTATTTAAATTTCACCAAATTTTAAAGGAAGCATTATAAAGGTTAGCTGAGCAAGCAGAGGAATTATTATATTATGAATTATTAATTTATCCGTTTCCAGGGGCATTCAGAGTCGGAGGGCCATTTATAAATTAAATTATTAGCAAATTGTCTAATTGTTCCCGTATTAAATTTTATTTTATTTTCGTGCCATATCTGCATTTATTTCCAATATAAGAAATATATTTCTCATTGCAATTTGTTGATCCCCAATTTAGAATTTAGCAATTTGCTCAAAATATTTTAAGCCAAGAATTTTATATAATTTTTTAGGCTATCCAACCAATGTCTCCTCAGTGTAAAAGCTATGGCTGTGGAGGGTCGTCCACATAGTGACGGTGATAATTAGCATTATGCTAATATTTATTGAAAAACGGAATTGAAAAGCAGCTTAGTACAGTCCGATCGATAATCTAATCGAAAGTATATATATTATTGATCAGCAATAACACTACAGTCTCAGTCCATTTGACTGTCCGTTCTTCTGCCTGTTTTAACGCAAACTCAGTATTTTGCAAATAGTCTTCTTTCTAAGAATATTTGTGTATAAGTCGGAAAGACCCAGATCGGTCGACTTATATCTGTCATTGGAACGATAGGGAAATATATAAGTATAGCAAATACAACAAGAAAGGAAGCTAACTTCGGCACGCCGAAGTTTATATACCCTTGCAGATAGAACTTCTATGAATAGGAATCCATACAATATAAATTATATATATTTGTGTTAAAAAACAATGAAGTAATACCTGCTTTCATTTCATTCACCTATACATATTATATTTGCAGTTTTACATTCACAGATTTGCATTTTTCCTCTACATCAAACGATCGTTTGTATGCCACAAAATTTTAGACTTATATAAAATGGCTATACCTCAAATTTGATGAAAATCAGCTGAAAACTAAAAAAGTTATAAATTTAATTTTATTAATTTCTCGATCGTTCCTATGGGAGCTATATGATATAGTCGTCCAATTTTCATAAAATTTTACACAAAATTTTAGAATAATATGAAATGGTTATATTTCAAATTTGATTAAATTCTGTTGAAAACTAAAAATGTTATCGCCACCGCGATTGTCAGTCTTCCGACAACAGCCACCGAAATTCTCATTCCTCTCAAATTTCTCGATCGTTCCTATGGGAGCTATATGATATATTAGTCCGATTTTCATAAAATTTTACACAAAATTGTAGAATAATATGAAATGGCTATATCTCAAATTTAATCAAATTCTGTTGAAAACTAAAAATTTTTTAATTTTTTTGTAAAACTTTTCCGATCATTCCTATGACAGCTATATGATATAGTCCTCCGATCCGGCCCGTTCCGACATATATACGAGTGAGAGTATATAGAAGAACTGCAAAGTTTCATTCAGATAGCTCCAAAACTGAGAGACTAATTTGCGTAGAAACGGACAGACGGACAGACGGACAGACGGACAGACGGACATGGTTAGATCGACTCGGCTGTTGATCCTGATCAAGAATATATATACTTTATATAGTCGGAGGTGCCTCCTTCACTGCGTTGCAAACTTCTGACTGAAATTATAATACCCTGCAAGGGTATAAAAATAAATCTGAATAAGAAAGGAAGCTAACTTCGGCACGCCGAAGATTATATACCCTTGCAGATAGAACTTCGATGACTAGGAATCCATACAAAATAAATTATATATATTTATATTTATTTATATATATATATATATATATATGTTTATATATTTATATTTAAAAATAAGACTAATATAAAATGGCTATATCCCAAATTTGATGAAAATCTGTTGAAAACTGTAAAAGTTCTTATTTTTAATTGTATTAATTTCTCGATCGTTCCTATGCGAGCTATATAATATAATAGTCCGATTTTCATAAAATTTTACACAAAATTTTAGAATCATATTTGATTAAATTCTATTGAAAACTGAATATGTTATATATTTTTTTTTAATTTTACGATCATTCCTATGGCAGCTATATGATATAGTCGTCCGATCCGGCCCGTTCCGACATATATACGAGTGAGAATAGAAACGGACAGACGGACAGACGGACATGAATAGATCGACTCGGCTGTTGATGGTCAGAGGGGCCTCCCTCACTGAGTTCCAAACTTCTGACTGAAATGATAATGGCCCGAAAATTTTCCTGGATCATGGCGTACTCCTGGATGGCCCTCAAATGCTTCAACGTCTTCCCGGTGGTGCCAATGAACAGCTCATCTCTGGTATCTACGATGCTGTTCTTAAACTCAGAGGCATTGTACACCTCAATGCGATCGACTTCCGGTGGTTCCCCACGCAAATTGATGTTCCTTTTCACCTTTGGCTGCTGCCTGGCGTCGTCCACAGAATTCGGCTTGCGATTGGGAGGCACCTTGGCAGGTGAACGACAGAGTCTTGATTTCCACCCAGGATTGAGACCTTCGAATCTGCTTTGTCGTAGTTATCGAGAAGTAAAGAGGCCATTCGGTTTGAGTGGTAGGTATCATCGAAGCTCAAGACCACCTGGGTGCCAGGCGGAGACTCGTTCTTGAAGATCCCAGACATTTGGTTGTAGAACTGCCACTGGATTTGGTACTGTCTCCCGCTGTCTAGATGCTTATTACGGATGCTAAAGAACGTCCGCTTCAGGTTTCTGAACTTCCGGTCCATTTGACATGACTATGCATTTTGCTTTATACTCATCTGATCACATCAGCCATTACGGCTATTTATTGATAGTCTAACTATCGATAAGCGAGCCCAAACTGGGGTTGAAACTTTAGTTACTGAACACTTTTTATTTCAAAGATTCAATTTATATTAAATTAATCTGCCCTAACGGGTGGATAATGTAATTTTTGTACACATCCTAAGCTAACTGTTGTTCTTTTTTATTGACCAAAATCCAAATCTTTTTTATCCAATTGTTAGCTGTAATTTAAAAGTGTAATATCTTTAACAATCTTCATATCTGCCATCGAATTACCGTTGAGTTGAGTTGATTTTCTATAAGACATTTTAATTAATATTTCCAGTTTATTGATATCTGCATTTCGTGCTGTCAAAAGGCAACTCCATTTTTATTTCATTTCCCAATTCTATTCTTATTGGACATTATATGGGACCCATGGAAATCATTGCTTAATTACATCCGCATTCTATTTAAGTCAATGGGCGCCCGGCACTTTCCATTTCATTTAAGGACAAAATAATAAATTCTCTCTTAAAATTCATTTCATTAAACACTCCCGTGAGCTACTACCCCCACACCGGGACAAGGACAAAGGAGGGCCGCAGCGAGAAAGTCTTTTGTTTATACTCGAGTTCCGGTCCCCCGTCCTTACCCGAACTCGGGCAAATTAAGCAAGCTGACAATTTTCTCTCTCTAAACTGTTCAACAACTTAATGAGCCTGCATAACTTTGCGACAACAGCAGCAGTGGGGGAATGCGGGGTGGAGTGGAAGTCATGAACCAGGACACAGGAGCCGGGAGCCGGGGCCCAGGAGCCAGGAGCCGGAAAACCAAAAGCTAAGGCCCTTCCCCCGACTTCGAACGGGCGGCAGATAAAAAAACACGTTAACTTGGCCGGAGGCAGCTCGCTCGGCGAACGGTGGCAAAAGTCATTATTCACTGTACTAGCGACAATCTCACTCTGCGCTTCTTCCCGCCCGCAACGGCTGCTAAAAAATAATCAACTTTTACACGACTGTCAACCCACCCTGGCCTGCTCCACGGCGGCAAGTTCCTGGCAAAGTTTGGTGCCGGGCGTGGAGACAACATCCGTATTGCCTCGGGGCCCACGTTGCATATGGCGAATAGCTGTGCTCCGTTCTGGCCGAGGCCTGGTCAGGTTCCCCTTACAAATGTCGCATTAATGAAGTGATTTTGCTATGAGAGCATTTCACTTTTTAGATTCCCCATCACCCCAAGGTTGAGATGCTACCGTGACACGATCGGTAGCTCTTACGGAGAGTGTGTAGAATTCTGAGCAAGTTATCATGCATTATTTCAAGGTTCAACTTTACCCATAAACTTTAAAAATAAAACTCTAAATATTTAGATAGATTAAATACTCAAAATAAAATAAAATAAAATAATAAAATAATCAAAGGTTCAGGTTAGACTCTCTAATATCGTGTCACGCTCCCATCTCAGGGTCCAGCTCTCATTAACTTCCGCTTGAAGCTCTAAGTGGGCGCAGGACCTACTCCACCTCCAAATCCAATCCCCTCCCACTCACTGTTTGTTTCTTTATGCAAATGTTTTTCTTGTTATTATTGCGTGGTCGTGATTCCCGCTGTCGCTGCTGCTGTTTGTTGCTTTGGCTTTGCTTTCGGGTTTATAGGAAAACACGCAAAGCAAACAAAGTTCGCTCCGCTCGGTGTTTTCTTACATGAGAGTTTTCCCTTCGGTCTGTTTGTACATATTTTAATTACGCGTCTCTGATTGGGAAGCATTTTGCGGCGGGAGCGTTGACATCCTGCGACTTTGCCGCACAGCTGTCGTCATCAGAGAAGCAATTTTTCGGTTACCCCCAATGGTTGGCCTTGCGGAGGATGTGGGTTCAAGGGCGGGCAGAAAGGATGCAGGATGAAGTTTGTGCTTGGTGGGCACCGGACTCTTAGAATACATTTTTCTGAGTGCCCCCAGATGGAATGCTGGGGAATTAGCATTGCTGATTGCCCATCCTGGCCAGAAATTGGGCCTCCAAAGTGGCACAGTGGCTTCAACGACCTAATGCATAAATTGTGCCGAACTTTGCCATTCATATGAGGTAATAAAAACCAGCCAAGCCCGGCCCCACGCCCACACACACTCGAGAAAATAAGTGCGGATAACAATCGCATAAAAATGTGCTACAGTTTCTCATCGAGTCGAATCTCATATTTCGCCAACTGCTGGCGGATGAAGAGCCCGGCAACATGTTGACTTGACATTCTGAAGTTTCCAGGCAATTGACACCCTTTTCCAGTTCCGCAACGCAACGCAACCCTCCCCGGCGAACTGGGTCTCCGCTGCATAAGGGTAATTTCAATAAATCGGAGAGGACCACCCCCATCGGCGCGGAGAATATTTCTTTTTGCATAACACACAAAACTTGATTACATTTCTCCACCGTTTGAATGATGGCAGTCCTTTCGGGGAGGGTGGACAATGTTGCGCCAAAGTCAAACTCCAATCAATAAATCGATGGGCCAGGGCCATCAGCATAAATTTCGCAGCGCCAGACAATTAACAATCGACCTGCAATCATCATTAACAATGGCCCATAATCCACTCAGCGCAAGGCAAATTGCCTGTTTAAATTGTAAATATAAATTTGGATGGCATTAAATGCTATTAAGCCCGCAAATTTATTGTTCCGGCCAGTGACGAACCCTTTCACCGTCGAATATCAGCTATCCCAGCAGCTTCTGCTGCCGATAATTGTGTGTGCTTAATTAAATTTTCATGCAGGTGCCATAAATGATTTTCACCCTGACGTTTAATTAGATTTACATTTTTACGACCACCTGCATTCACTCCACTGCGCAGCCTCTTAATTGTTTTGCCTAAGGACGTAATTACGTCCGATTCAGATTTGCAAGCAAGTTATTTTAATTCATTTCAACGGAATGTTAATACAAAAATCATAAATCAGAGAGGTGTTTAGTATGGGCCCTCCCAGGAATGCACCTTCCCGGGAGTGGGAAGCTTCTTTCCTTTGCCATCGGCTCCTTCCTGATCCTCCTGATCGCAGTCGGGCTTGGCATCTTCAGCAGCCTCTGCTGCTTTTTCCTTGGCGTCCGGGTCTGGCTTTTTCTCCTGCATCAAGTCGACTACCGGCTTCAGCTGACCCCGAGGATCTCTCATGTAGTAGTAGTTGGCGAACAGACCCTGCGATGGACCCCGCGGTATATCGGGGGCTGGTTGGGTACGCGGAGAGACAGTGTCTGCAAACCGGAGCGCTGTCTTGTGTTTGCGTCCCAGGAAGAAATTGCGGACGCGGCTTAGGAGTCCAGCCACGTCGCGGTGCTGGATCTTGGGCGGCATCTCCAGGTTTTCTGTATTGTATTTTGTTGGTATTTTGAATTTTAGGCAGGCCAGAGTGATTACAATGTCGACTGACACTTTGCTGCCCCCCCACTTACATCCCGGCAATCCCTTCCGCATTTTCCACACGACTCGGCGCAACAGTTGCCGCGCCGGATGAGTCAATTCAATAAGCGTCAATCTCCGCACGCTCGCAGCTGTCAATCAGCCTGGCAACGAAATCTGCCATCGATGAATTTCAATTATGGCCACATGAAGGAAACAAAGCGAGCGGGGCGCCACTGACAACTTGACCAGAAACGTAACAATCCTCCATGCCCCAGTAGACAGTGCAAAATCGACTTTGGAATTAATAAAAACACTTCAATTTCCGATGCCGATGAGGGCTGTGATCCCAGGTCGACCTCCCCCCAACGGCTGAGCAGTGACAGGAGCACGCGTCGGGCTTTACTGTACTTAGAGTGGTACAGCACGTTTGGCTGACAGCCTGACAGCCGGAGCGGCTCATGGCCGGATGCCTGGCCCGGAACACGGGCTGGAGATGTTAATCACGGATGCAGATCCTTGGAACTCCGCTCACATTTCATCAGATAAGCAGCTTGTCGAGATTTACGAAATCGAGCTGATTATGTCTTTGTGAGGCAAGGACTCCTTCAACGCGTGTCAAAGGGTGCTCTGCTGATGTGTTTACCTTTTGGCTTTCAGAGGGAAATCGGGAAAGTGGCAGGGTAAGGGGTAGTTTACCCCGGCTACATAACGGAGAAGAGCGTTATTGGCTATGGGAAATGCATGAATAAGCTCGACTGCTCTCCCAAATTGATTATAATTTACGGCGCACGGTGAAATTGTTCGCGATAAGCTAAATATCAGGTTAACATTCATATGGTCGGGGAAATCCGATAAAATTGATTTTACGAATATGTGTGAGAAAAAAGCTCGGTACTGGAGTTGAACAGAAGTGTCTAGACTGGGTTTCTATAGTTTATCCAAGGTTACCAAAGTTATCTAGGATAGCTTGTGGAGAAATATTTATAACCTTTGTGAAATTTGTTTTCTTAGCTTTCTAAGGGACATTTCATAAATATATTGAAATACTTATGCCATTGATCAAAACATCATAGTAACATAATAACAAAGAGACTCATACAGTAATTGCTTTCTCTTTTACATGGATTGTAGAAAAACTGATTCAGGAGGGTTGCTACAAACGTGATTTACCCAATTGTTTGTTCTTTTTTCTTTTTTTGGGGAGACAGATGGGCTGGAGAAAACCTTTAAAGTGACATTCGATGCCCCGCAAGCCATCTCAGGGTGGTTCAGCGGGGGTACTTTGTGCGGTCGCTGGGAGCTCGACTTCTGATTGAACTAATTGACACATGTGATTCAAAGCCAGCCAAAATATCGGCTTGGGATTTGGTAACTGGAGCCAAGGTTAGACATGAGGTGACAAGCTCCCTGAACTCTCCCCGAATCTCTCTCTCCCCGTCAGAGTCTGTGGCAGTCTCCTTGTCCGTCTAGTTGTTGTAATGCGATATGTCAACAATATCCTAAGGTCGCTGGAAACTTTAAAAGAAGGCGAACCGCACTGCTGGCGGTGCTGGGGGCGAAAGTAAAAGTAGCGAAGGTCAACATCATCAAAATGTCTGTCTGTCTGGGCCCGGGACAGACATCTGAAGGAGCAGACTCCCGGCCAGAGGCACTCACATGTGCCAAGGATCCGCTCGTGTCCTGCGTGTGTCCTGTGCGCGTCTCCGGGCTTCGTGTAGTGAAAATGATAATGTTAAAGTTTTACAACTTAAGTCGTCAAAGTCAAACACACTCCAGGGAAATTACAAACACATTCGAGACAAGAATGTGAAGCACAAAAGTCGTTGGCCGACGGACGAGGGGAAGGATCTAGGGCAGGGCTTTGGGTCAAGATGTGAGGGTGGGCCCAGAAGTTTCGGAACGCCATGATGAAATATACGCATTTCGCACAATCTCCAACTTTACCTGCTCAAATCTTAAGCTCACTATCCCTTGTTGTTTGGCTCCGCAGTTTTACAGGGCTTCGGGGTAGAATTAGTGGCAAGCATCAGCTCCCCTTCCCGCTGCTTCACCTCGGCCATTAGCATAAATAAACGCTTCTAAGTACGCCCCATAAAGGTGTAAATGCCCTGGTATTATTAGCCAAAGGCGAGCCCAGGGAGCGAGAGACAAAGCTGGCCAAGAGGGAGTCCGGGGTAAACCGCTGGAAGCGCTTCGGAGACTTTTGCTGGCGCTAAAATTTTATAGCCGCCAACACACATAAAATTTGCTCTCCAAGTATTTCATAAAATTTTGTTGCAGCGGACTCCGACTTTGACGCAGAACGGTTTTCGTGGTGCTGAACTGATGGGTGGAAATGAAATTTTATTAAATGACTGTCAAGTTCTTCGCTACTTAACTTGGCTGTGAAATTAGCAAGGTGCTGCTGGCGGATTCCCGCTGCTGAGGGACGTTCCTGCTTCAGCTGACTAAGCGAATGAGTGTCCTTAAAGCGAAGATGAGGGAGTGGAGCCAGTGGTGGTCTCGGGGCATGAAGTGTAACAATGTTTTAAAGAGTAGAACGAGGAAAGTGATGCAGCTCATAATTCAGCTCAGGAGTTTACCCAGTTATCCTTGGTAAAGTTTCCTTCTATTCTGAGAGTGCCTCGAATTGTTTTCGACACAAAAGTTTCAGCGTAGAGCAAGATAGACTCCCCCCTAACCCAACGAATCTATCGAAGACTTTGTGAAAGCCCCCCTGCCGCTCATTAAAATGTCTCAATCGTTCTGTTTATGCACCGAGGACTGTGCCCTGTTCGAAGAACACCTCCCTCCCGATTCACGCATTCATTTCGCTGGCAAGTGAACAGAGGCTTTCCCGCTTCATGCCCACGTTTATTGTTTTCCAAGTCATTTTCAGCATCTTATCAATTTGACTCGCAGGCACGGGCGCAGGCAATAAAAGAGTAACCATTGTTTCCTGGCCCCCACTCGTTTCCGTCCTCTCCTGTCAATGATAATGAAGACAGCAACAACATTCTTTTGCTCCGCCAGGACCAGAACGTGACTCTCTTATCAATGCGACTTACTGCCAGAACGCTGCCTCCTTTCGGGGGCAGTCCTGCCACGCCTCCTGCCAGACCTTCTTCCAGATATCGGCGAAGCAATTAAAATTTGTAGCTATTGGCGGAGTGGAACGTTTGGCACTCGGAATTCGATTGCGTTGGCTCGTCGTTTGCAAATCATTTCGCAGTTGCTCAAGACGGCCTCCTTGGCAAGGCCCCGGGCCCCGGGGACTTCCCCCATCGCTCATTTTTCACATTGACAGCCCAATGGGCGTTAATTGCGGGGGCTTGGTTTGGTTAAGGTTACGATGCCAGATAAGTGCGCGTGATTTTTCTACGAATTGTATGCCCAGCGGGTACCCACCCCCACTTGATGGGGATGAAAATGCGTGGCGCAATTCATATTTCTCCCCTATTCGGGCATTTAAAGGAGGAATTTGCATTGGGCGGCTGGCAGCGATAAAGGAAGATGTCTGGGACTCGAGCAGGGAGGTCCAGGGATATACATTTTTTGAATTGGCAAAACGTGCATCAAATGGCTTAATTACATCCGAAGAGATGAACTTTGATCTTGACTCGTGTGGGTGGCTCTCAAAGATATGGCCAGATGTTTTTGGGGTGGCATTACCCAGGATGGGGCGCCCAACTTGAAGTGCTGCTTAGACTGCGAAGACCGATCCAATCTATAGATCCTTGGAGCATTTGTCCTGTATGCGTGCACTGTTGCATATTCCATCAAGGTGGTAGTACTTGTGCAATCGATATATGCACATATGTGGAGGCAGCCTGCTCCAGGTGGTAACAAATGATTCCCTGACGCACACCACTCGGATCACCCTGCCCCGATCACCCCTGCCACTTCAAATGCGCATATTTCACAGTTAACATGACTTGACAACATGCCTTGTCGGCTTTCTTCTTCGGCCGGCTCTAAATATGTAAACAAATAGTTTTGGCAATTGCCAAGTGGGGCATGTCGGACGGAACCCCCAGCACCGGGGGTAGCCCCAGCCCGCAGGTCGTCCAGTCGGGCTGGGCTACATGTTGTGGCATGCGGTTGTGCAACGCCAACAACTTTTGCAACATGCAACCAGACGACCGGTCCGCCCTTCCTCCGGTGAGGGCTGGCGAGTGCGACCCGGGCCAGGATGGCAAAATAAACGAGGCCTTAAATCGAACCTTGTACACGGGTCGTGCCGGGTCGGAGGCCGGATCGTCTCGTTTGAGGTTAACATAATTTAAGGCAGCAGAGCCGGCTCCTGGCAGGACGAGGTGGGAGGGGCCGACTGACTGCCCATTTAACATGCTGCCAGCGTGCGTGAGCCGTGTGTGGGGCAGAGTGCCAATTTCGCAAATTATAAATTTTCCACCTGCGCAATATGCTGGCTGCCTGGTCTGTCCCGGTTCTCTTCGTCCTTCCCAATGGCCCTTGGAAAAGTTTTAAGCGCACCCAACTGCTTCCTGCTCGCAGGCAACAATCTGACAATTGATCGCTGTTTCCGACTTCTATTTCTGTTGCCGTGTTGCTGTTGGCGAAATTAAGTCGACACCGAACACAATCCTCGTGGAAGTGGAATACGTGCACTCAGGCACATGTTTTGTTCAACACATATAATGTTCCCACAGCCTATAATTGTCCCTCTGGACCTTTTAATTTTAATCAGAAAAAATATATCGAGAAATAATCACAGACAGACAGAATACGATTGCATCTTGACTGCTAATGTTGATCAATAGTTTTTAAACAGCTAATGGAATTAAATGTGTAACGCGCATACTTTTACTTTTACAAATTTAGAGACAGCCTGATGTAGAGTCAGCCCCAAAAAAAAATGTAAAATAAGTACTGAGGTTATTTTTGTTTTTTTGCAATTTTCATATTTTTTAAGTTTTCTCATACAATTTAAAACAAGTTAAGTAAAAAAAGAAATTAACAAGAAAAGAAGCTAACTTCGGCACGTTGAAGTTTATACTCCTTTGCAAAGGCTTAAAACTAAAAAACTCCTGCACTAAATGGAACAAATATATTTTTTTCTAATAAATATTATCTAAATAATCATTTCTATAAAATTAGATTCAAATCGAAATTTTAGTTTTTTTTTTTTTTTATAAAAAAAGGAAATGTTTTTCAATTTTGGTAGGGATTATCTCTATTAAAAAAATATTTTCTATTACTAATTTTGAACACATCAAATTCAATATTTTAGAATGTGCATGCAGAATTTCATGTCTCTAAAAAATTTATTTTAGAAGTTACAGAATTTTGGCCAAAAAATGAACTTCTTGACCCATAGTGCTTTGCAGATAGAACTCTGATCACTAGGAAATAATACAATATAAATAATATAAATTCATGATAAAAAACAATTAAGTATACAATTAAAACTTATAACTTTTACAGTTTTCAACAGATTTTCATCAAATTTGAGATATAGCCCATTTTTGTATTCTAGAATTTTGATTTTAATTTTATGAAATTTGGGCGACATTCACAGTTTTGCATTTTCTCTATATCTATATCTAAATCACCTGTATATGTATATAGGTGAATGAAATGAAAGCAGGCATTACTTTTTATTTTTTAACATAAATAAATATATATTATTTATTTTGTAATAATTCCTAGTGATCCTATCTGCAAGGGTATATAAACTTTGGCTTTCCGAAGTTAGCTTCCGTTCTTCTTTTAATATGAAAGAGGAATACATTTTATTATATTAACTGAAGTAATTCAATTTGCAATATCAGATTTATTTACTGCTTAAATTTATGTTTTTTTTTTTTTAGAAAATGTCACTTGAACGTAAATTGAAAGTGGACATTGTCAGGCCTAATGAAATAAAATTTGCATACAATGAAACGAAACAGAAGACAGTTTGTGTTAGAGCAAATGAAATATTGTAACTGTGATATCAATTTGATATTCGGGTCCATCGGGTCAGATGAGGCCAGGGTTAAGCTACCCCTGGTTCTTGCTTACCTTTCCGAAAGCAATTGCAAGACAATGGGACCAGCAGAAGCACGGAGGGCCGGAACTCGAAAAGAAGTAAACAATATGCAAAACATGTCGAAGGCGTGCTGGTCGAACAGAGGCGGAAGTGCACTGCATATCACGAATACGCAGTGGAGTCCGGGTCATGACTCTGCATACTGAAGAGCTCGAGGATGTCCGAGAGCAAGGTCAGCCGACGTCATTTAACATGAAATGTCCAATGTCCATTAGTTCTGATTTGCAAACGGGTTCGAAGTTTACATTCTGCTCAGTAAATGGCGCTGAATAAATATTTAATAAACATAAACGAGACCCAAACATTGAGAATAATACTTTCGTTCGCTTCAGATTTAAGCCGAAAAGCAAAAGCAACAAGGCAAGGCAAGTGCCCCTTGGGTCAATGTCTCTTTGTCTTCGTTAAATTGCATTCGATATGGAAGTTGAGTTATCACAGATTATTGATTGGTCGATTGGCGTTGCCTCGATAACTGGGCACAATTAAAAGGCAGTAACTGTAACAAGCTTAAAATGTCCTTTCACTGAATGATATAAAAGGTTTTCTCTGCTTTGGCCTTCTCCGTTACTTCAATTTCCTTTCTGTTTGTCCCGCGCTTAAATACCACAATTGAGTCGAAGGCGGGTCTGAAAGGAAGCTAAAGGAAATCGGATACAATCCGAGGCTTTCCCCTCTCCCGGGACAGACTGGCGGAGTTTGTGCAGCGAACGCATTTATTATCTACGTAATTAATATCCAATTAATATTCGATATTTTGAACAACTTTCTATACAATTAATTAAATTTCCGGCCCCTGCTCGCGCGTCCGGGGTAACACATTTTTATGTCACATCAGCAAATTGCAATCCGCTGCACGGCCATCGGCCATCGGCCGGAGCTGCCTATGCACACTCATTAACACAACAATAAAATACAAACGCCGCCGGGGGAAGGGGGCGTGGACAATTAATGTGACTGACACACATGCAGATTTTGCCGCCGTGCGCGTTGTCATATTTGATTTACAGTTGCAATTTACGCACTTTCCGAAGGAGTGGGAGTGGGAGTGCGACCGGGTCCTCTGGCGCTGGCCGACAGCTGTCCACGTCAGCATCCGGCTTCTGTTTGATGTTGTTAATTGATTTTCAAAGTCAACTTGCGTGCACCGGGGGCAGGGCCAGGCGGGGAATAGGTCTCCTGTGGGAGGGCTGGGCCGGCTTTCGCTTTCGCCACACTCGGAGATTAGCAGGGCAGTGTAAAATGCATCTCCATTGAGGCGCAAGCGACATAAAACCAATTCCCAATCCGCATTCGCCGGACAGTTTACAGACTGTGGATCCTGGCCCCTCCTGCCGCACCGCACCGCTCCTCCTGCTGATGCGCATTGTAAGTGCAGTGAAGCGCATTTGCAGCTGCAATTGCCAAGTGGATTTCGGACTTGTTCCTGCCGCACGACGGGCGAGGCCGCGGGCGGGAAGGGGGGTCGGTACGTGTTTGTTTTATGTGTGGCCATTGTCCAGCGGCCCATGGACATGTGACTGTATCTGTTGTCTGCCCCGGCATGCGGTTCAATCAAAGCGATTTCCAATGTCCACAAAATTGCGCAAAAGGACATTTTGGTAATTTCGACGACGTCATTCTCCGCAGGAGCCAGGACCGGACTTCGACCCGAGAGGTTAACTGGACAATCAAAACCTAATTTGACGATCACTTGGGCTTGGAGTCTCGCCTGTTGATGTAATTATACATACAAACCCAGTAACAAGAATATTAAGAACAAGTTGTACATATTTCAAGTAACTGTTTTAAATGTATCTCGAAAAGGACTACATTTTTGAGTGTTATAGCCACACAGTATCAAATCCACTCCTGGCCACTAGTGCTGCACTTGTTGTTGGTAATGAGTTTGGTTTTACTGTTTAAATTTAAACGCACTCAGTGCCAGGAGGGGGAGCAGATCCACGGTCCACGGTCCATAGATTGCCCCCGGACGAGGCTAGAGTTCTAAAGTGTATTTGCATTTAACGCTAAATGCATTCCGGCAGAGCCTGTGGTGGGCGAGTGGCGGGAAGGGGTAGGGAGATCCTGCCTGCGGGCGGGAAAACATGACAGTTGCATTAATTTTGATTGCGTAAATATTTTAAGTGTGCGGATTGCGAGAGCTCTCGCAAAAATGTTTGCCAAAGGCCCACGGCCTGCTCGGGGTGGGCCGACGGTGGCAGGAATTAAGTGATTGCAATTGAGATGAGCTGATTGTGGGATCCACTCCGGGAGAGCACAACTCGCTCTCGCAGCGAGGGCTGTGCATATTTAAAGTCGGCTGAAGGACTTGCAGCTAATGGCAAACCACCCGATGCGACCGCCACGTTCGATGAACCCCAAGAGAATGGAATGAACTCCGAGCATTGGCCACTTTTCTAATTATGCCAACAAGAACTGCCGCATCTAAAGGCCTCGGAACCAGCCCCATTCGGAGCTACTTTGAGATGCCAATAAAATGATTCAGCCACAAATATTCCCGAGCAAAAAGTGCAGCGAAATTTATGGGCACGTAGCCAACATAAAACTTTCAGATGGATTTGCCGGATCCATGAAGTGATAATTTACTTAACCGCCTCCCTCCAGCTAACACACTCCCGAGACAGTTTACACGATGCTAACATCAAAGTTTATGATGTCTAGGCCGTAATTAATCGAGATTTGTTATTGAGGGGTGAAAGAGGGAAATTGGGCACATAAAAGTTGAACAGTTATCTGAATATTTACATGAGCATCGCGACAAAGTTAATAAAATCTGTAACATGGCCCATTGAAGCGTCATTTCTGACGGCAATAAGTAGACTGATTGTTTAAGTTATCAACTCGGGAAGCTTACTTTATTCACTTGTGTATTTTCTCATTTATTTGCCCTTTCCCAGCCCTGTCTGACCTTAGCAACCCAACGCAATTAAACCCTAACCGCATTATCTCCAACTGCCTTCTGATATTCAGCATCCCCATTACAAGTTTTTCGTTTTCGGTCGACCAATACCGCAATGTCTGCGGCATGTGGGGAATTTTCCCATAAGACTGCAATTTTGTCCTGTTTAAGAGGCACATTCGCTTTTGGATGAAAATTCGTTCTGAAAGTATACAGGTTTGCACTTCACTCAGCTAAGGAATGTAATTTTTGTAAATTATATATAATTTTGAAGTGTCTGAGGTACTCCATTAATAAGCATTATAATAAATAATTAAAATTAAATAGAAACCTTTTCAAAATATAGTGCTACGATAATTCGATGCCAGAGGGGCGGTACAAATGGTTTAACGACAAGCTCTCGAAACTGAAAATCTCAAGAAACTATTGTTTTTGATTTGATGTCCATAAAGATCATTTGCTTGCACATTCTGTCTGGTTTATAACCCTTATAATCAAAGATAATAATTGCTTTACCTTAAAAGTTCAGGATTTTTTAATATATATTAATAAGTATTAAATCATATGATTAGCAGGATTGTTTGTCATATTTAATGATTGTTATCAATGTTATTTTAAAACTATAAAGTCAAATTAAATATTTAATTGGATACGTTACAGTCGACTACAGCCTTTGTTTACTTTTCAATGTACCCATTTTCTATATGGCAATCATAGGGTATTTGTTGGTCCCAAATTAGACATTTTGTGGTATTTTTTTTTTTTTTTTTTTTGCCACCATTGGCTAGACATCCTTTGGATTGAGAGAAAGAAAGATGCTAAGAAAACAAAGAGCTTCACTGTCGCCTGCTTTGTGGCGATAGCTGGGAATTAATTAAATGCCGCGGCGAGTGAAATTAAAATAAAAATGTCGAGAGCTTTTAAATGGGAAATGAGTGTAGCTAAACGTTGAAGCCGTTAGTTTATTAGGGTTTTCTTAATAAGAGAATAAGTGGAATTGAATAAGAAGGGCTTCGTTTCCACTGCGGCCAGACTTCCACGAGTGAGCCATAAACAATAACTTCGAGGCACAATGACAATCCAAAGGACGAGCGGGTGGGGAAGGAATAACTTCCTTCTTCTGACCAGCCATTGCAGCAGAAAAATAGCAACTTTTGACTTCCGCTCTAAAAGTTTAAGTTCATTTCCGCCTGAGCCAAGATCCAAGGCGAGGAATTAATTAGAAATTTACCAACACACGCGACCGGGCATTTTGGATGATAGCGTGAGCAAGTTAGTTCCTGCCAGAGGCCCATTTCATTTCTTTGTTTCACCTTCGTCCTTCATTTCCTGCGAGTTATAGGTCAATTCCTCAACATTTTTGGATGATTCGTATCTATTTTCAGCCAGAGTTTCCGATTTGGCAAGACTCAACAGTCTTGTATCTTCTACACATATATGTTTATATTTCTGTTACTCTTCATATAAGATATGTTTTTTTCAACCCAGTTTCACTTCGTTGCAGGTCTCAAGGATCCAAATTTGGACAGACACACCAGTAAAGGTGAGTTTAAGGCACCGATAGTGCTTTCGAATCAAAAATTAATTAAGAAGCCACTGAAGATGTAAATATTGGGATGGTTACAAACCGAAATTTGTTTCGTTTCGACACAAAGTAACCGAAACAAAGGCGCTTCACTGCAGCTCCTGAGCTCAGGCCCACACATTGGCTCCGGCCCAGCCGCTCGCCACAATAACTATAAATTCCCAGACCCCGGGAAACCGCAACACCACCCAGCCCCTTAAAACATAAACCAAGCGGCTCTTTAAAACGCAATCAAGCTGAAAATTAATTAAAATTTTCAGGCGGGATATGAAATTAATGCGTGGCAGCGGGGGAACGAGAGCTCTTCGTCCTCCGCTAGATGCCAAAGGGTTGTGCAAGGTAAAGCTAAGGTTTAAATTAAAACGCACTTGTTACTGTCTTAGACGTCGTCGTCTCGATTTCATTAAAAATGTTTTTATGCGCGCATTATCCTTTCCCTCGGCGTTGACGGTACGCCTTGCCTCCATCCGAGGCACAATTTAATTTGGCTATGAAACGCTTGCCGCATCCTTGACACTTTCACTTTTCCCCCTCAGTGCCAGCCCCCAACTCTTCCACTTCCAGCAATGGCTTGTTTCAAGGAGCTTAAGCTTGTCATTGGCATTTGGCCGTGTTGCTGCTTGGCCTGGAGAAGCTCTCATAATTTCACGCTAGGCGAGCACACACGCGTCCTTACCATTCCTTCTGGCCTCCACGAGGACATTTTCACCGCCAGTCGCTGATATCGCTGAAATGCAATAAAGTTGAGTGCGGATTCGGCAAGAGCTGCGTTTCGAATCAGTTTTTCCTGGTGCCCGATCCAAGGCGTCTGACTCCCACATGACTTTGCTGTGCTTTGAAAGGGAGCTGAACCAAAATAAATCAAAATCGATTCCGGCTTGGACGAACTTCTTCGCGGAGTCCCTCGCCTGGTCATCCCCGTTCGCTGTTGTCTTTATTACTTTCTGATGAATGTTGCGATTTGACTTTCGGCGAAGCAGAGGCAGCGCAAAAAATAATACTCATCGCATGCTTGGGGGCCATTGAATGGATTCATTTCGGGGTATTCATATGCTTTTAAGCGAATTAGTCTGGCCGGCTAATGTGATAAATGGATGCGGGAGCCAGAAGCTGGAGCTGGAGCTGAAGCAGAAGCTGAAGCTGAAGCCGAAGGCTGCTGAACCCTTCATAATTATACTTGGAGCTTCCTGCAGATGAGCTGCAAGTCATGCCATAGACACAGAGGCCCATCTCCTGCTGCCGCCGCCAGGATACTCCATTTAATCTCATAAATCAAGGACCCGGGGAAGCCCTCCGAAGTCGGACAGGGGCACCAAAGGAAACGGCACATATCATAACATTTAGCATATTTCACTTAGGCAAACATTTAATCCGGCAACTTGTCTGGCTGCCGCTTCCCCCACCTGGGCATAGACCACGACCACGACCACGTTCCGAATGCAGACGCGGAGGTTAAATTTTCATTTCCGCTGGCGTTTTTACTTTTATTTCATATTGCACGATATCAAATAATGAATATCAAATGAAATGCTTATCATTTGTTTGCCAAGCCGCTGGTATCTAGGATGGGGCTACGGGTGCTGGGGCACTTTCTCGATCCTGCTGCCAGGTGGCAACATATTATAATATTTACTTAATTTTCATTTCTAATTCGGGCGCTCTTCCTTCCTCCGGCTGGATGCAGGAGACAGGAGGCAGGAGGCATATTAAATCGCTACCCAGGACGAGGAATTGGCCAAGACCTTGGCACTGGCAGACAGGGGCAGAGAGAAAAATTGGGAAAACCTGCATAATAAGCAAGCCTCACAAGCAAACTTGGCTGACTTGGGAAAGTGATGGCAGGACTCAAGCTGAAGCCCCTCTGGCTGGATGGGGAGGCTGGCTGTTGATTCTTGCAGGTGGCTTAAGCTGCGTCTAAAGCGATAACGCAAATTATTTGAATTTTTAATAAAACGAAATGTGAATACCGCCGCGCATCTCCGTCCTCCAATTCATCTGGCAGTGGCGTGGCCTTAGCCTAGGAAGGGCTTCGGTGATACCCTCCTCCGGGCTCCGCTCAGCCCTCGAGCTGATGTATTCAAATACGATTCGTGGCCGCCATTTTCCTGTCACTGGCTGTGAAAATTCACAGCTTTTCCTCCGATTTTCTGGCTAATCTTTGGTCAGCGAGAACTCTGACTGCGCCCCGCCCGCTGTGTCTGTCGCCCTGTTGTCTATTCGCTTTTTTGAAATTCCAATTTGAATGCTTGGTGGTTTCTCCCCGGGCCCCTTCGGACGTCCCTTCCAGCAGCCAATATTATATTATTCAAGCCATCGCGTTTGGCGAAATCTCCTCTAACGATCCCCTCCGGTCCGTTGTCCAACGTCCAACGTCCAACGTCGCCGGCACCGTTCGTTGTACTTGAAAATCGTAATTAGAATTGGTAATGTATTCAAATTGACTTTCATTTCCGTTTTTGAGTCGGTTCCTTCGTTTGTTTTACTGTTGCCTGGCATTCTTTTGGATTTTTGCGCTTTTCGAGGAGTGACGCCCTGTCTGCAGAGAGATAAGAGCCGGTTCCGTCATGATAATATCCGACAATTGTCTTTATCCACGCGCCGAGCCCGAGTGATCGACTGCCCAGCCAAGGAACTTTCGATTATCGAACCGAGATGATTTTCCAGCCATATTTCAAAATCTCGGAACGCCAAAGTTTTTCCCCGCAGACGGAGAGGCGGAAAAGCAAAGAAAACTGAAACTTTTCGACGGCAGGAGCAGCGCCGTAAAACCGTAAAGAATTCAACTAATAAAAATCAGGCATTCAAGTGCGAAAAAATCGCGAAGAGCATCATCAAATAATGTGCCACTCAAGCCCGTCCTCGCCCCTCGAACAGTAGTTGAATCCTCGGAAAGACAAATAGAAAAGAAAAGTAAAAGGCAACTTGGGAGCGGAATAAAACTAAGCTGCCTGGCTGCCTGGCTGGCTGGGAGTGCAAAAGTTTGGGCGCCGAATTCGCTGGAATCCGGAGATGGCACCGTGAGGAGGAAGTGCCACCCAGCGAGGACCAGGTCTGTGGGGGTGAGTCCAGGAAAATGCGGTGGCCCGGACGCATCCTTGCCTGCAAGACAGGGCCGTGCGTCATCGGAAAGCACTTCGATGGCTTTGCCAGGAGCGCGTGGCGCTCTATTTCTTTTTTCTTATTTGTGGATGTGGAGATGGTCACATATTTTCGTTGCTATGAAGCGTGCGAAGTATTTCCCCATGTGCGGGTCCGGATGTGGCTGGGATGTGGCTGGGTCTGCGTCTGCCTCGGTTGACTGTGTGTCTGCGCGGCGGAAAAGCAATTTTCCTTTGTGTCGTGCCCAGGTTTTGGGTATTTCGCTTTTTCGGTTTCTCGGTTGGCATTGTCTTCCACGCTCGCCGCACTGAGCTGGCAAATTTGTTGCAACCGAAATAAACACTTTATTAAATGCATTGGAATAAGCGTGGCCACGGATCGGGAGCTGGGCGGAAGTTCGGTTCTCAGTTTTTCCGCACACACACACACACACACATGGCAGCAGCTGGGGGGGAAAACTTTGAGCTAAGTGAATTTGGTGCTAAGTCCGGGTAAGAAAGAGATTCGTAGCCAGCAAGAAACGGATTGCTAATGCACTTGCGGAAGCCTTGGCGTGGGACGAAGGGGATTCCCCTGACCTTCCGGCCCGAAAGCTAGTCGCATAAATATCTCCGCCGAACAGGCAAAAGCCCTTACAGATCATTATTTATTTATTTGCTGTTTTCTTTTTGCATTCAGCTCTTCATTTGCCAAGGTTCGTCGCCCCTCTCTCCGATAATCGAAGGCAGGAATCAAATTATGCTAGAATTGAGATTGATTTTTTATTCAATTTTAATGCGACAAATGCAGGCAGATAAAAAGGCGACAAACTCGGAGGACACACATGGCCTGAAGCTCCTGGCCCCGAACACGTGGCCTGGATGCTGTGTGCTCCAGATGAGCATGTGGAATGGGAATGGAATGAGAGGTGTGGCTGGCTGGGCTTGGGAAATTATAACGGCGATGGCTCACAAGGGAGTCGCACTGGATTAGGTCGTCGCCTGGGCCAAGTCCTTATGGGGAACTTTTTGAATATTACAACATAAATCGATTAGCTTCTATCAGCCTGTGCTCCAGCTCCTGCGAGTGTGTGTGTTTGGGTCGAGTGTTGGCTTGTGTGTGGCATCTGTGTTGGCACTGATTGACACTTGAAGCGATTTTTCTGCTTGCCTCGCTGGCTGCTGTTTGCCGAAGCTGATGCTGATGCTGCTCCAACTTCCCTGCCGCACCCGCATCTCGGGTGCCATTGATATGCTCCGTAATAAGCACCCGCACATAACTCCACTGCTCCGGGGACTCGACTTGGCACAGCTTCGTAGCTGACCCTGGAAAATTGGCTGCCATCCGTGGTGACTCTTTTCAGGGAAGGCGTCCTCGATTTGCAGCATAAATTGAAAGGAAATTAAACATTGAGTGGAGGGAAATGAGCCGCTTTGAGCGTCGGGGGAAATTGTTATGTGATAATTGGCGATTCGATTGGGTCTCCTATCGATCTCTCCCGGGTTTAGCCACAAAGTGGGTCAGAGGTAGAGCCTGGTGTTTATCCAAAGGATAATCCAGTTTCCCGTTTGTGCTCAGCATTACATTTCAATTTGGATCACTTCAATGCATCAACACATCGGAGCCAGTCGACAAATTCTTCTGAGCAAATACCATAAGCCTTATCCTCCGAGTCGGTCCAAACACAACTGAACAAATTGCAATTAGCGCACACAGCGTGTGTACAGGGGTAAATATGACAGTTTTGCTAGGGGATGCTGGAGGCGGTTTGACATCGATTCGAGCCGCGAATAAGTTATAATTTAACACAATCGAAGGGAAAATGTGTGCCGAATTCCGAATCGAACACGTCGAAACCTGGATGGGAAAAGGGTAGGTAG